TTAACAAAACAAATAAACTACTCCGTACCAAACATACCTAATTTGCTCCCAGTTGCATCAAGCCAAGGCCCAAGGACAAGATCCCCAATTAATAATCTGGATAAGAATTAATTTCATTAAAAAGGCAATCTCTAACCTAACATGTTACACAGTAAAAAAATGTATACTGCTAGATTTAATTCCATAAAATTACCTGAGAAAAGCCGACAAAGAGATGAATGCGATTAGAGAGAAGGAAGCGTCGTCCTCCTCACTATCTGCGATAAATAAAGTCAGTGGCTTGTATGAAGAAGGAAGCGTCGTCCTCCTCTCTAACGCCGGCCCTTGGACTTGAATCTCACTTTCAGTAAAAACAGAGAAAAAAGTAAAGAAAAATTACAAAGGAATCAAGAAATGGAAAGGGAGAGAGGTACGATTCTCAAAAGGGTGGCCAAATTGGATCTAGATTAGATCTGGTGAGAAGTGCAAATGGTAAAGCTAGATGATTCGTGATGGATAAGAATGAAGGGTGGGGGTTATTGATTAATTGTGGGTTGGTAGTGGTTGGAGGTTGGAGATTTAATTGTAAGGGTATTTGTGTCTTTTGATAAGGAAAATTTACTTTTTTTAGAAAGTGAGAAGTTAATTTTAGGACGGCCCAAAAAGGAAAGTGAGAAGTTAATTTTAGGACGGAGGGAGTAATTAAAATACTCGCAAGAACTTTCCCAAAGCCTAAGAACGGAATGGACTTTGGTTAACACGTGCGTGTCAAGAGAAGGGTCAATTTGATGTGAAATATTTGAAGACATCATTTACCTTCCCCTTTATAGCCAAAAGCAAACCAAGAGTCAAATCCTCAAACTTTGATGGTGCGGGATCAATACGTTACCCTTATAGTCTTTTTGCATTTTCACAAGAGCATGCTAGGCGACCCTAAAATGAGTTGACTTATTTTATTTGTACACCAAGCAAACACAGATAGACATAGTGTCTGTGAATTACAGATAGTAAGTATCTGTGTTTGTCTGGTGTACAAATGGAGTACCTTGTTTTGGTGGATTCCTAGGTTTATTCTTTTCAAAAACATTGGTTCTTTTGTTGTCTTAAATTTAAAAGTGAAACATAAACTTTCTTATATTTTAATTTGTTGGCAAGTGAATCGTTTATTTTTTGTAAAAAAATTCAATTTTTTTGTTATATCAATGTATTAAGTTCTATAAAAATAACATGAATCTTAAGACTACGTAAGAATCTTAAGAGTACGCATGAAAGTCTACTTTTATAATTTCACCAATCGTTAAAAATAAGTCTTCCATTTTCCTGTTCCAAATTTCTTTTTTACAATTTACATTATTTATCTTTTCTCCGCATTATTTTTAACTATATACCCAATACTATTTTTCTTGATGAAAATAGGTGAAACATTTTCAATCATTTGTTCCCCACCAGTCTGCTACCGTTTCTGTTGAGAAGGGCAAAATCGTCAAATACACATTGAAATTCTTGTCATTTGGTGTCATGGAATAATCACACCCTTATCCCGCTTTTAATTGCATAGTAGTCCCTCCCTTCCTCCCTATTTATTCTTTTCCCTTTGTTTTTAACCTTTTTTGGGCATGTAGAATCTTCTTGGCAAAATGCTAGGCACATATTGGGAGATAGAAACTTGAAATAACAAAACTTTGATAATGAACCCACAAGAAAAAAATAAAAAACAGAACAATTACAAAATAAAGACTGAATTCAATGTATTAGATGGTTAAGTATAGATCTTATTCAAACACTATGGTTTCTTTAATTATCTGATTTTGGACATTACCCTAAAATGGGCTTCTAATGAACATTCCACTTAATTATGTGACTAACCATGTTAAGTGAACCTAAAAAACTAAACCCTAAAATGTATCCCAAAAATTTACACTTACGTTTTGCTGATTTATATTGACAACAAATATGATTGTAAAATCTCACATTAATATTTCGTGTCAATGTAAGTTATTAATCTCGTTCTTACATCGACACAAAATGTATGTAGCCTTTTAAGATACATTTTGAGATACAATCTTTGCCTCTTTGGGATACAACTTACAAGCAGTTTTATTCTTACTGTCTCTGTCTACAAATAAATTTCTCGTTCACTACTCACAAGGTAAAATTTTATTCACTTTGTTGGCCTATTTTTTCACCTATTTGATAAAATAATATAGTCATGTGACATGTCAACTCTAGTTTTGTAAATCTTTTAATGTAGTTTTTTAATATGTAATTTTTATTTTCAAATTTTACACCATTTTTCATATAAAATGATTTGAAAATAACTTCAGTCAAACATCGTACCGCGCAAGAAGAAGTTTATTTGTGGACGGAGGGAGACTATGATAGTTAAGTTTTGATTAAGTTTTACGAGTACAATTTTGAATAGATATTGTATAGCATGGTTCAGAAAAATAATACGGAGTAATTTGTAGAGCCTATTTTCTAAATGGGCTTCTACTCGTAAAAAAGGCCCAATACATGAATTAAAATTAAACCCCTCCCAAAACCCCATAACCCCTGAGATATCAAACGTAGGGTCGGGTCGGGTCAACCCTCTACGCCGCCATCGTCCTTTTCTCCGATCTCTTCTCGATGAAGCCTGAGATTTGAGCTCCTTCGCCATTTTCGATCAAACCCATAGAGCCCGGGTAGGAAAATGGCCTGCATCTATGCATCGAAATCGTCCCGTTTGAACCCTAAGCTCGTCAGCGTTTGGAATCCGTTTTACCTGAGGTCCACTTCCTACTTCTGCTCATCTCCGTCTGCGGACTCCGATGTCCCCGTCAATTCCGCCGCCGGAGCTCAGGATGCCGGAACCCCAGGAAGATCCCCGAGGCCGATGAGAGGTAACTACAAACCCCCCGAAAAAACTGAGGATATTATCTGTAGAATGATGGCTAATCGGGCCTGGACGACCCGTTTACAGAACTCGATCCGGAACCTCGTTCCCGTATTCGATCACGATCTCGTGTATAATGTCTTGCACGCTGCGAAGAACTCGGAGCACGCTCTTCAGTTCTTTAGGTGGGTGCACAGGTCTGGGCTTTTCCGGCACAACAGAGAAACCCATTTTAAGATCATTCAAATTCTTGGCCGAGCTTCGAAGCTTAACCATGCTAGATGTATACTTCTTGATATGCCCAAGAACGGCTTGTCATGGGATGAAGATTTGTGGGTTGTGATGATTGAGAGCTATGGCCAGGCTGGGATTGTGCAGGAGAGTGTGAAAATGTTCCATAAAATGGAGGAGCTTGGGGTTAAGAGAACTTTGAAATCTTACAATGCTTTGTTTAAGGTGATAACACGCAGAGGCCGGTATATGATGGCGAAAAGGTACTTCAACAAGATGGTGAAGGATGGGATTGAGCCAACAACCCACACCTACAACCTTTTGCTTTGGGGATTTTTCCTTTCGTCAAGAATCGAGACTGCAAAGAGGTTCTTTGAGGAAATGAAAAGCCGGAAGATTAACCCGGATGCGGTTACTTATAATACGATAATTAATGGATACATTCGTTGGAAGAAAATGGAGGAGGCAGAGAAGTACTTTGTGGAGATGAAGGCCAAGAATTTCGAGCCATCTGTGATTACATACACAACTTTGATAAAAGGGTATAATTCTGTTGGACGAGTTGATGAGGCTTTAAAATTGTTTCAAGAGATGAAAAGTTTTGGGATCAAGCCAAACGAAGCTACCTACTCAACCTTGCTGCCTGGTTTATGTGACGCGGAGAAGATGTCCGAAGCCAAGACTGTCTTGAAGGAGATGGAGGGTAAGTATATTGCACCGAAGGACCATTCTGTCTTTGTAAGATTATTAACCGGGCAATGCAAAGTTGGTGATTTGGATGCTGCAATGGATGTGCTCCATGCCATGGTTCGGTTGAGCATTCCAACCGAGTCTGGGCATTATGGGGTATTGATTGAGAGCTTATGCAAATCTGGCAGTCATGACAAAGCTATCAAACTATTGGATAAGCTCATTGAGAAGAACATTGTTTTGAGACAAGAAAACACTTTTCATATGGATCCGAGTGCGTATAACCTGATCATCGAATATCTCTGCAACAATGGCCAGACTTCAAAAGCTGAAGTCTTTATGAGGCAGCTAATGAAGATAGGCGTTCAGGATCCTATCGCATTGAATAACTTGATTCGTGGGCATTCAAGAGAAGGAAATCTTGATTCAGCATCTGAGCTTTTGAAGATCATGGAAAGGAGGAAAGTCATCACAGAAGAGAGTGCTTTCAACTCGCTTGTCAATTCGTATTTAAAGAAAGGAGAACCTGCGGATGCCAAAACGGTTTTGGACAGCATGATTGAGAACGGGCATTGCCCAGATTCGTCCATGTACAGGTCTGTCATGGAGAGCTTGTACGAAGATGGGAGAATCCAAACCGCGAGCCGTGTGATGAAGACCATGTTGGATAAGGGAGTGAAGGAGGAACAACACATGGACTTGTTTGGGAAAATATTGGAAGCTCTGCTAATGAGAGGTCATGTTGAGGAAGCCCTTGGCAGAATTGAACTGATGATGCAGAGTGGGCTCTCACCCGAATTCGATAATCTCATAACCATTCTGTGTGAAAAGGAAAAAACCATTGCCGCTTTGAAGCTCTTAGATTTTTGCCTGGAAAGGGACCTTAGCATTGAGTTCTCAAGCTATGATAAGGTTTTGGATGCTCTTCTAGCAGCCGGAAAGACACTGAATGCGTATTCAATTATGTGTAAGATTACAGAAAGAGGTGGGGCCGGAGTTGCAGGCCGCCACAACAGCTGCGAAGAACTGATCAAGAGCCTCAACAAGGAGGGGAACACAAAACAAGCAGATATTCTTTCAAGGATGATCTTAGGGAAGGACAAGGATTACAAGAAAGGAAAAAAGAACTTGATGAATGCCTCATGAATTCTTTTCTTGAGGTAAGAGCTTCATTTCCATTCATCTTTGTGCTACACTGTTTCATTTAACAAAAAAAAACGAATTATCGGATTTGCTTTTTGGAATCTTGGGAGTAGAGAATTTTGATGAAATTTGTTTCCATGCATATTGTCATTCCCACCCCACCAGCAACTCCAATGTGTTTCATTCTTCTTATGGTTCTTCTTTGAGGTTTCATGTTTTATGAATTCTCTTTTGGTGGTCTCTGTCATGATTTTAGTATGTGCTCTGAGGAACATAATGTGAAGTCTCTGGTTCCATGCAATGACACCTTGAAGTATGATTTCTGGTGAATATGTTTGTTGTGTGCTCCATGCCCTTCATACAAAAATTCCAGATTTGAAGGATGTGTGAGGTTGGAGGATGAATTTATGTTTTGTCACAGAATAAGTTGTTTAGAACTAGTCATAAGTGGAAACATTATCCTGTTTAGCACTATTGGACTTTGTTACTTGCAGTATTTTTTTGGGACTAAGTAGACTTTGGAATTAAATATGTGTTTGGTCCATGTAAAATTGAATTTTTTTCTCAATTAATTTATCCTTGTAAAAAAAACATTTTTCTTCGAATCTTCATTCGATCTGGTGGAGCTAGGGATGAATTTTGTTTTTATTCCCTATAATTTATTTATTTCTATTTAGAAAATTTTGTTTTTGATCCCGAAAAACGTGTTTAATCGTAGCTCCAAATTGGTGGGAGGTCGACTTGAAAAAATAGATTTTTTGCAGGATTGAATTTGAGTTGTTTTATTGTGGTCGTAGGTTTCATATGTAAAATGTGAATTTTATGACATATTTTTCATTCATGAGCTCACATATTGAGAATATTTTTATTTTTACGGGGATAAAAAACATACGGAGTTTTATATGCTCCGTATTATTTGGTACTCCGTATTTTTTTCTTGGCCCAAGTTAACATGCCTTAGGCCAATGGACCGAAATTGCTCCGTATTTGGGAATAGACATTTGAAATGGGTCTGGTCGGTCAATAATGTTTTGGTTGGTTTGGTCCAAAACCCGAATTTTTGGTCTTCAATTTTGGTATTTGGTTTGGTTTGCTCTAGTTTTAGATCGATGAAGCATGTCCAAACTGAGAGGGACTTTTAGAAAATAGGATGTCCTATTGGGGTGGAATTGGGTGCCGGTACGGTTTTGATTTTTTTTTTTGGAGAAAATATCACTCCATCTGTTCCACAATAATGTTTCGGTTTTAGATTACGATGTTTGATCAAAATTATTTTTAATTAATACTCCGTATAATATTATAAAATTGATGTAGAATTAATAAATAAAACATACTCCTTCGTCTTAAAACGTTCTTCCCGTTTACTCCGGGGTACTATCTACTCGGCTAAACTTTATTCATTTTCTTTACCTATTTTCGTTAGTTATTTAATAAAATAATATAGTTTTGTCACCTCTTGTTTTGTAAAAATTTTGATGTAATTTTTAAATATATAGATTTTATTTTTTTAATTTTACACCTACAATCAAATAAATTGAATTAAAACTAAAGTTTGTTAAATCTCGTAAACAGAAATGAGAAAAACATTTTAGGGCGGAGGGAGTATATATTCAAGTTCATCCTGGTCCGAGTTCCAACGAAGACAGATGCATTAGCTCATCATGTGTCATTATATTGCGAAAAATATAAAGAGATATTACATTGTAAACGAGTCCATAACACTAAAAAAAGTAAGTGTAAGAAATTAATTGGAACGAAGGATATATAAGACGAGTTGTGCTATTATGATCTTATGGTTTACATATAAAATGTTGACCTTCTTACATAATTTTCATGGGCTCCTTTCTTTTTTTTTTACAAGACCCAATACATAAGTTCATTTTTTTTACGTATGAAGGCCCATTTGATGATGAAAAAAGAAATTAACGCTTTTTCCGTACAATGGACAACATGAATTTCTTGTCTTACTTCTCACTGCCACTGGGGAAAGGCAAACCGCTTTCGGTGGATTAAGCTTTTGAGTTTTGTCTTTAAAATAAAAAAATAAAAAAGAGAGAGAGAAAAAATAGTCAGCTGTGTGGCAGTCCACTCCCAAGTCCCATGTGGCCGCCGCCCCACTTCTTTCTTTATAAGGGAAGGCTCACTTTGACCATTTGTTGACTGCCTTTTCTTTCTTTCTTTTTTTGCACCACTTTGGTTAATTTTGAGGTGAAACAATGGAAATGATTGGGTGTTTTGAATTTTGTTACCACACTTTAATTTAATTGTGTTGGGTGCATGTGTCATAGTAACAATGCCATTTTTATGTCAAATCAAACTCATTTTTTAGTTATCTCAAATAATATAATCATAAATTGAGGATATGATATCCTCCCTTTATCTTTCACTACAAAAAAAAATATTACAAAGAAATGCTCCCAGCTTTTTAAATTTGATTACAAATTGAGATTTACGAGATAAAATCTCTTATATTTTGAAATTTTTTTATTTACAAATTGGTATATCGATAAAAAATAAAAATTACATATTAAAAAAGTAGGTCAAAAATTCTACAAAACAAGATGTGACAAAAATATTTTAGATCACGTGAGGGACATGTCATTATTGATAAGAATACTTTGGATCTGTTTCCCTTCAAAATTTTGAGCAAAATGAAGAGAAAGATACTCCTTCAATCCCATAAAAAATCTAGCAATTACATATTTTAGTGCAATGGGAATAAGGAGTTCGGTGATGCAGAGTGCAAACTATATTGAGCTTGTTTTGATAAAAGCATCATTTTGCTCGTAATTATTTAATGGAGGGTTCCAAGAGGGCAGCGCCCAGGAAGTGGGATTCAAGGAGCGGTAATCCTTGCGGTGTCCAAGGGGCAAAGTCCCTGGTCGGGGTCGAAGCACTGTGTGCATTTTTGGATTTGGGTGCAAGGAAATCTGAAGGGCATCCTGCCATTCTCATAGAAAATTTTGCTGAATAGATGCGAGTATTAGAGAAAACGCACCAATTCAAATGGTTTTTCTCGATCGTTCTTCACTGCGCCCATAAAATCGATCGCAAGATTGGTATAACCTGAGATACCAATTCAAAACTATCACAGCATTTTTCATATTTTGTTCAAATTCTCTCTGAGTTGTATCCGATTGAAATATTTGTGCGAATCGTCTAATAGTTTCAATCTGAAAGTCAATGCAGGCATTTCAAAAAATCCAAATACTCATTACAATTTCCTAACAATTTTATATACTTAAACGTTATGAAAGTTTAATATATCAAATTATATTTTAAAATAAACTTAATTTTACTAAATTTACATAATAATTAAACATTTTTTTTTCATTATTTATGGTCAAAGTTTAAGATAATTTGATTAAAAAAATCAAACTTACTTGATAATCTTTTTTGGACGAATGGAGTATATTTTTCTTATTTCCCCCCTTCCTTCCCCTTCTTCTAAACCAAAGATCAGAGGTCCTAGCTAAGGGTATGCCATGCACAAGAAGGGCACTTCAATTCCTTATTTCTCTCATGCATAAAGAAGTTGACATTAATGATAGTCAATCATCTACGAGTATCTAAGGTGTTCATATTATATTGTTCAACTTATTTGAAATTTCAGTACATGTAGAAATTAGGTTGAAATAGAAGGAAAAAAGAAACTAAAAGACAGGCTGGAGATTTAGGAGGCCTAGCTAGTTTCGTTAATCAATGCTATGATTTTAATTAAACTTGGGTAGACTTTTTTAAAATAAAAATAATTATAATATCAAAATGTTACTCCCTCCGTCCCAAAATATTCACAACATTTGCTTTTTCAGCAGTCGCGGGAACTTTTGTTTATTTCTACGTTTTTATTGGTTATTTAATAAAATAAAATATTCTTGACACCTCTTATTTTAAAGAACTTTTCATGTAGTTTTTTGATATGTAAATTTTATTTTTTATTTCCATACCAATATGTAAATAAAATGAATTGAAAAAACTTGATATTTTGCCTCGGGAATACAAGTGTGGCAAATATTTAGGGACGGAGGGAGTATTATTTTATACTCCTAAGTTCTTAGTGAACTTTTATGAATTTCATAAAAGCGTATGTAGAAGTCAATTCCACATGAATTTATAGACTTTTTTGGACTCCCCCGGAAATGTTCTTTACATGTTACTTGATACACTTATTAAAGAGTAGTAAAAAAATGTCAAATTTCTAAAAATGCACGTACTATAGACTTTTAGAGCTTGTTTTCTTACAACAAAAAATAAATTAGTGATAAAATAAAAATATATTATTGCTCTTCGAATTCCGGCCTGGTCAATAGATACTTTAAAAATTAATCCATACTTTAATATAGTTGGAAGACACCCAACTTTATACTCACTCATTTAATTATCCCAAAAAAATATTTTTTCTTTCTCTTTTAATCCGTATAAAAAAATTTCCTCTTTCATTTAAAATTTCATATTTACCCCAATCAAATACATAGTATTTACTCATCTAACATACTCTCTATTTTGAAAACCATTTCTATTTGGATTATTGAGAGAAATAACGAGCGAATATCTTGTACTACCTCCGTCACGTGAAACATTTCCCATTTCTTTTTTTATCCGTCCCACAAAACACTTCTCATTTCTATTAAAAAGTCACTTTTACCCCTTACTTTTTCATACCCTAACTATCACATCATACCTTTTTACTAATAATCTATCCATCAAATCATACTTTTACCCATCACATCAAAGGACATTTTTGGAAATTCAATACCAAAATACACTCCTTTAAATCACTCATAAAAAGCATTCACGGGACAGAGGTAGTAGTTAACATTATAATTTTAATGGGTAGGTTAAAAAAACACATGCATGCACGGGGACTAGGGGGGGGGGGGTGAAACTTATCCAAATTAAACGAACATGGGAAAGCACATATAAAATTATTATAAAAGTCAAAAAATGAAAAGCAAATTAGCAACCAGCGTTTGGAGCATATACAAAAAAGTAGTACGTAATAAACATAATTCAACTTGCTTAAAGCAAACATATACTCCTTTATGTCTGTAAATAATATCGGTTGCCATTTTACATGTATTGTACTACTTCCCAACCTCAATATTTATCTAATTTTGATTAACTATTTTCAACCTTAGACCTATAATTAAATAAAATATATATTGAATATTAATTAGATAAATTAATATTTTTAAAATATTTGATATAATAAATCTAATAAAATTATTTTTATATCAATATTTAATATCATTTTTATTTAATTTGAAGTCAAAATTTATCAATTTTGATTAAAAAAAAGTCAAAAGTGAACAAGTTTCCAGGGACGAAGGGAGTAGTTATTATTCACAATTTAATACTACTTCCACACTTCCGCTTTAATTTTTCACGCATCTCATAAAATACTTTGTTTCTACTCTATCTAAATGTTTAAAATACCTTCAAAACCACTTCTACCTGTAATACACTACGAAATGGAGGT